CCAGGGGTCCATCTAGTCCAGCATCCTATGGTGCCACTAGTATAGATATGAAGTTACTGGAATTTTGCAAGTGCTAGATGCTATTGCTATTAATCAAGTCTCAAGGGAAACTGAGTAATTTGCTTCCAAGCCTTGTTCTTGGCAGCCCCACCAGCAGAGCTGAGATGGATGGTGACACAACGACAGGGCTTTTTCAGTGGTGGCACCGCACCTTTGAAATGCTTGAGGCTTGCTTGGTGGCTAACCTTCCCTTAGGGAACAGGCCAAAATATTTCTTTTTTATCCAGGCTTTTTAAACTGAGGGGTTCCACCTTTTTAATCCGTTTTTATCATTCATTCCTAGCCCGAGGACCACTGCTCCCTCTAAGCTGTGGAGTCCTGTGAGCGAAAATTCTGCTTTGTGAGCTACTGGCATTAAAGTTGTGAGTGAGCAATTTGGCTGCTGCATAAATTGGTTTGCTCTGGAGGCATCCTTCCTGAGCTAAGACAAAAATATGTGAGCCAGAGGCTAAAAAACAGTGAGCTAGCTCACACTAACTCAGCTGAGAGGGAACACTGCTGAGGACTATTTTATTAGTATTCTTTAAGGCTTCTGAATGTTGTTTTATGCTGTCTTTGTGTCCCTGACCCGTTTGAGTTGTTTTGTTTTGTTGCATTGTTTAGTTGTGAGCTGCTTTGAGTAGGTTTCTGGAGAGGTGGCACATACATTTTTCTAAAAGAAACAAAAACATTTGGGAAACATCATGTGATGAATGCCCTAAAAATATCTATTTATTTTAAACAAATCTTTAAGATTATGCATGGGATAGAGCAGGTAGAGAAATAAGTACTTTTCTCTCTTTCTCACAGTACAAGAACTCGTGGGCACGCAATGAAATTGCTGAGCAGTCAGGTTAGAACAGATAAAAGAAAGTACTTCTTCACCCAAAGAGTGATTAGCCCATGGAATTCACTGCCACAGGAGGTGGTGGCGGCTATAAGCATGGATGGCTTCAAGAGGGAATTAGATAAACATATGGAACAGAGGTCCATCAGTGGCTATTAGCCACAAGGTATAGATAGGGACTCTGGGGCAAGTGATGCTCTGTATTCTTGGTGCTGGGGGGGCAACAGTGGGAGGGCTTCTAGTGACCTGGCCCCACTGCTGGACCTCCTGATGGCACCTGGTAATTTTGGCCACTGTGTGAGAGTGTTGGACTAGATGGGCCATTGGCCTGATCCAACATTGGCTTCTCTTATGTTCTTATATTTTTATTGCCTGCCTGCTTAAAAAAAGATGGACAGTATAAATTAAGCAGTGCAAAACCCACCAAGTAATGTCGCAGGGCCTCTAGGTCATCCCTATGTCTCTAGTGAGCCATGCCTGATTTGTGAGAGGCTTTCTTCAGCTGTAGTCTTTTTTCCCGCCTTTGAGTCTTACTACTTCAGAGTGGCATTAGTCTTGGTTGCATGCTAGAAGCCCTGATCGCTCTGCCTTTCATTCCTTTCCAAGGAGATAATTAATTAAAACATTACAGTGCCCCACAAAAAATGGCATTTTTCTCCAGAGATGTATTTTGGGGTCAGCTGAGTGCTGATATGGCCAAATGCCTTAAATAGTTTGGCCATGTGCAACTAATGGCAGCTGAGTTTTGGACTTGAAGCTTCTTGCAGACTTTTTTTCCCGGGGGGGGGGGGATCTGTTTCCCATGCCCCATTTCTCTGCCTGAGAAACGTTCTATTCCTTTAAAAAAACACAGCCATGTATTTAGCAAAAACACCCTTGGTTTTGTTGGCAGAGTTCAGAAAATAATCTAATCCACACTTTGGAGTTTTTCTTTCAAAGAATTTTGCAGAGAAGACAATAAGTGACTGCAGGCCACTAATAGAACAGAGAGACCTTCAGAGCGCAAGCACTAACAGACTAACACACAGCAGAAAGAAAAACAACAAGAGGTAGGTTGAAATGCAAGAGAATAACATTCAATAAACCCTAAACCAGGGGTGTAAAACATATGGCCCGCAGGCCAGATCCAACCCCTACAGGTCTGCTCTCTGCTGCTTCTTGTTTCTGCTTCCTGCATTGCCGCTCC